TTTTAAAACATTTATTGGGCAAATTTCTGGCCAAAAGTACCCCTCCTACTGTACTAGACCCCAATATTAATATTACATGTACATGTACATACCAGTATGTAACGTCCAATTTTCCATTATATTGACTGATCCGAGTACTCCCAAACCAATGGATCCAGTCACTGCAAGACATAACGCAACCTTATTTCTGTACTGGGAAGAACTGGTGTATACGCCCACGCTAGCCACTCCCATTAACATGGCGGCTGACACGGAGCCCAATCGAAAGACGTATCTCTCTGGTTTATACATACCACAGTCACTGATCATTGGAATGGAGTCGATATGAGTCCTTCCTAGTATGTAGGAGACAATGACAGTCAGCAAAGCTTGAATTACTCCTAGTTTTAATAAAAAAGATAGGGACACCATAATTCACAGACCCTTTTCATAAGAGGGTTAAATTTTAAAGTTTCCCAACCCCCTTATGGGCTAGGACTACGGAAATAAACTGATTTTGTTCGAATAGTCGGATACTTGTACCACGTGCTCCTTAAGGATGATACCCAGGTTTTATAGTGGAAGTGTCATTAGAAATCATCTCAGTGTATTACAGTGTCTTCAATGTGAGTAGAATTTTAGAATAAATATAATTTTACAATTATTAGGTCGGCCATTGTGTTTGAAAGCTGAAAGAAGGAAACCAGAGCCAATCGAAGATATACGTACTGATACTCACTTCCTTTTTTATGTCTTTAGTGTCTTTTATTAGGTGCAGCGACTGATGTACTGGTGAATAAAGTGGAAGTCCATAAGCTGGCTAAATGCAAGGACTTGTCACAAGTAATAATAATAATAATAATAATAAGTAATGAAGAGTTAATTAGATCATTTATCAAATACAGTGGAATGAAACTTCTATCTTTATCAAAAACCTCTATGTATTGAAAAAAATTAATACATTAACTTCTTCATTGCTATTAATGAAAAAACTTCTCTTTAATGGAAACTTCCATGCAATATGAGAATTTGGTTTCTAAAAAGTTTTGTTACTCAGAAGTTCCACCTTCTTATTTATAAATATTGCAATAGCTGACTGAATGGCATGGATTAGTTTGTGGTATAAGGAACTCAGCCAAGTTGCATAAGATGGTTTTAAAATATATAATGTACCATATGCAATGGAGTGGCTTAAACTGTAGTAGCATCGATAGAATAGAGTCATTTATTTCTATTTTGTGGTTTAGATATTTCATAACGTTAAAACAGAAGAGGATTTGGAAATAGCAGAAGAAGCTCTAATTGCGTATGGCCATAATGAAATCAATAAAATATTATATCCTTTTTTTAATTATTAGTTTTAGAAAGGGGGCAAATCCAGCTCGCCCCAGTCTACCACTTGATGTCATTAATGCTTGTATACGAGCTGATTCACATGAGAAGGCTGTGTTGATCATTTGTAATAAGGTACTTGATCCATCCATTATCACACCAATGTCAGTTACTGTATACCGTACAACATGATTTATTGGCAAGAGTAATGTTTGGCGAATTTGCCTGTAGAAAGTTAATGGGGGAATTTTATATTTTGCAATTTTGTGCCATGTGCCATTGAGCATGCTCAGATTGAAACAAAATGGCAGATTTTATATTGGCAATTTCTTCATAGAACTGCCAGTCACCAATATTAATTCCTTGCCAATAAATCATTTTGTACGGTCGCTGGTAATTTTGGAGGCGTTGATTTTGATGAATTACTAAATTTTTGAGGATTGGCTGGTTTTAATTTGGTGAATTTGTAGTCATGTGCTATTGAGTATTGAGCAGGCGCATAAATGTTTAAAAATTGTGTTTTTAATTTTGGCGAATGGCTACATTAAAATGCTAAATTTGCCAAGATTTTCCCCCTCCAAAATTACTAGCTATACAGTAATTTTTATAGAGGAAGTTTGGAGTGTTCCCTTCCACTAATGTCTACAACATCCTTATGAAGTCTATCCTGATCAGTAACGTACCTGTAAAAAGTAAGAGATTCTATGTTTAACACGTTATTTATACTTAAATCAAAATCATTGGTTTTACTTGAATTATATATGCATGTAGACATTGTGTACTTGTTTCAAGAATTATTAACAGATGAATTGAAGCTGACAGTACATACATACAAGCTAGTAGTCATTGGATATATGAAGATGGTAAGAGCAACTTATGTATCTCTCTTTTAAGGCACATGTGTTTTATTTTGCTTCATGAATGTAACAACATTTATGTGTCTGTTGGATTATTTTTAGGAAACTGATGATGGATTTGAGAATGCATTACATCTCTCAAAGGAATGCTTGAAAACTCTTCAAAATGTGGAGCCTTACTATCATTTGCTTAAAAGCTGTACTGAGCAAGTATGTCTGAATTTCTTTGATTTAGTTGAACCTCTGAATGTTAAAGCCTAAATACAATACAATTTACATACCTACCCTTGAAAATATACCTACCTTTTTTGAAAACTCCAATGCACCTACTCTTTATTGAACAGTCTCTTGCTATTCAGAGATTCAAATGCTTTGTATTATAACTTATAAGCCAATCATATCATTTTAGGGTAAAGTGGAAAGAGTGAAATCAGTCTTGCAAGACCTGAGTCAGTTTCCACTGAGAACTAAAGTATGATCTATGCTATAAATAGATATTTGCTATTTATTTTGTTTCCAGTTTGAGCTCTGCTGTCAGGTCAATGGGCATATCTTATTGAAGGATTATGAAACAGCTCTGTCTCTGGTCTCATCTGTTAATGAGGAAAAGAATCAATCTTTAATGATACCAGAGACTGTCTTAAAGGAGTTTAATGATGTACTGGAGAAAGAAGATAAAAGAGAAGAGTTGCAAAGACTACAAGTGATTTTACTTGAGTTTGTGAGTCTGTTTTTATCGTTGTTATTTTTATCTGCAGGAGATTACTGAGTTATTGGAGAAGAATGGTAAAATTACAATAAAATTTGTGGGGGGAAATATGGAGCGTCACCATCGTCTGCTTAACAACTGTACCAAGCAAGTTAGTGATAAGTCTGAATTTTCATTTATTTTTAAAGCCCAACATTTGCTGCATGCAACACAGTTTATACAGGAGTCAATGGGTCTTGCAACATGTTGCATGAAATAGGAAACAGTTCTATTTCATGCAGCATTTTGCAAGCTCCATTGACTCCTGTAAACTGTGTTGCATGCAACAAATGTTGCATAGTGTATGCTGGGCTTTAGTCGAACCTCTCAATCTCTTTTAAAGACCTCTATACCTACATGTACCCTTAAAATATACCTACCCAATCATATCACTGAAAGCATTTTAGGGTGATGTGGAAAGAGTGAAATCAATCCTGCAAGATCTGAGTCAGTTTCCACCAACAACTAAAGTATTATCTACATGTATGTTATAAATAGACATTTGCTATTAATTTTGTTTCCAGTTTGAGCTCTGCTGTCAGGTCAATGGGCATATCTTATTAAAGGATTATGAAACAGCTCTGTCTCTGGTCTCATCTGTGAATGAGGAAAAGAATCAATCTTTAATGATTCCAGAGACTGTCTTAAAGGATTTTAATGATGTACTGGAGAAAGAAGATAAAAGAGAAGAGTTGCAAAGACTACAAGTGATTTTGCTTGAGTTTGTGAGTCTGTTTTTATTGTTGTTATTTTATTTGCAGGAGATTACTGAGTTATTGGAGAAGAATGGTAAAGTTTCATTTAAAGTTGTGATGCAAAATCTGGAGCTTTACTATCATAGGCTTAACAACTCTATCAAGCAAGTTAGTGATAAGTCTGAATTCATATTTATTTAGTCAAACCTCTGAATCTCTTTAAAGACCTCTATGTAATATGATTTAAATATACCTACGTACAGTTGTACCCTTAATACCTTTTAAAAAATTCATGCATCTACTTTTTATTGAACTGTCATAGTTTTGCTGTTCAGAGATTTAAATGCTTTGTATTACTTGATAAGTGAATCATATCATTGAAAGCATTTTAGGGCAATGTGGAAAGAGTGAAATCAATCTTGGAATATCTGAGCCAGCTTCCACCGAAGAATAAAGTATGATCTACATTATAAATAGATATTTGCTATTAATTTTGATTCCAGTTTAAGCTCTGTTGTAAGATCAATGGGCATATCTTATTGAAGGATTATGAAACAGCTCTGTCTCTGGTCTCATCTGTGAATGAGGAAGAGAATCAATTTTTAATGATTCCAGAGACTATCTTAAAGGCATTTAATGATGTACTGGAGAAAGAAGATAAAAGAGAAGAGTTGCAAAGACTACAAGTGATTTTGCTTGAGTTTGTTAGTCTTCTTTTATTGTTGTTATTTTTATTTGCAGGAGATCACTGAGTTATTGGAGAAGAATGGTAAAATTTCACGAAAAGTTGAGAAGGAATCCGAATGATGAGATTTAGATTTAATGAGATATTATAGTAGCATTAAAAAGCTACAGGTTTAATGTAAATATTGAATATTGTTAATAAATTCTTGTTTAATATTTGAGTTAAAACTTATATTATACAATTAAAATGTCTTTATTTTAACTTAATAAAATTAGTTGAGTGCAAAAATTGATTTAGTTGAATTAATTTTTGTTGCTGCTAGTAGTCTGGTAGAGGTATGTTGCGAAAATGGCGTCCAGCAATGAAGAAGATGAGGTCCCAGTGATACAGCACTCCAGAGAGCAAAGGTGGCCGTTAGAAGGAGAGCCAGTTTGTATCGTATGCAGTAGATACGGGGAGTACGTACTAGATGAAACAGATGAGGACGTGTGTAGCATTGAATGTAAGACTGTTAGACTGGAAATTCTGAAGAAAAGTCAAAGTCCTTTAGCTGAAAAGAAGGAAATTATTAAATCAACTGATGATGGTATGAGCCCTGAGCAATTAGAGGCATTTTATAAGATGGTAAGTCTTTGGTTTTGTCCTCTTTTTCATTACAAATTGATTCTGACTGTAAATTTTTGAGTTAAGACCATTTTTAAAATTAGCCAAAATCTGAAAAATACCCTGTACTATAGCCCATGGTTTTTTCCAAAAAATGGCTCCGAAATCACCTCCAATTTTTATTACATTTTCTGATACATATTGATGTCCTTATGCTGTGTGGAAAGTTTGAAGCGAGTCCGACTTCAATTTTTCAAGTTACGGCCATTTTAAGAAAAACGCCAAAATTCTGAAAAATACCCAAGGCTATAGCCCATGGTTTTTTCCAAAAAATGGCTCCGAAATCACCCCCAATTTTTATTACATTTTCTGATACATATTGATGTCCTTATGCTGTGTAGAAAGTTTGAGGTGATTCCGACTTCAATTTTTCAAGTTACGGCCATTTTAAAAAATTAGCCAAAATCTGAAAAATACCCAAGGCTATAGCCCATGGTTTTTTCCAAAAAATGGCTCCGAAATCACCCCCAATTTTTATTACATTTTCTGATACATATTGATGTCCTTATGCTGTGTAGAAAGTTTGAGGTGATTCTGACTTCAATTTTTCAAGTTACAGCCATTTTAAGAAAACGCCAAAATTCTGAAAAATACCCAAGGCTGTAGCCCATGGTTTTTTCCAAAAAATTGCTCCGAAATCACCCCCAATTTTTATTACATTTTCTGATACATATTGATGTCCTTCTGTACATGTATAAAAATTAATAGTACTGAGTTATTGTTATTATTTATTATCATGTGTAGATGCAGCTCGAAGTAAGAGGATCAAATGTCCCAGGACCAATCACTGATTGGAGTCAGTTACCACTTGATCCTCAACGTAAGAGAAAAAGAGAGAATATATTTAATAAACAATAATTGTGTCTCACTTAAAGCACATCAATTACCACTTTATTTTGTTGTTTTTACTGTGACAATTACCATCTCTTTTAAATATCTAACTTCCAGTGAGATCAAATCTACACAGCAGTGGATTCAATACCGTCACTCCAGTTCAAACTCTCATAGTTCCAGCCATTCTTAAGAAAAGGGACCTCTTAGTTTGCTCTGCCACTGGGTCTGGGAAAAGTAATGAATAATATTAGTATGTCTCAGACCCTATTGTATTTACAATACATTAGCTTTGTCATTCTTGTTGCCTCTTGTCCAACTGATGAGTCTATTACCAGCAGATCCTGTAGTATTGGTACTATCACCAACAAGAGAGTTATGTCAGCAAATTGAAGAACAGGCAAAACTTTTAATGAAAGGTATCAAAAATTTTGAAGTATAATAATTGTGATTATTATTATTATTATTATTATTAATTACAAGGTATTCCTGGTATGAGAACTGCTTTGTTGATTGGTGGAGTACCAATAGCGAACCAGTTACATCGACTAAAATCAAATGTGAAGGTATAAATTACATCAACAATTTCTAAGACTTATTTACATTTTTTATTTATTTCTAAAAAATTTTTCTATCACAAATTCTAACAATTTTGATAATTTTTATTTATTTTCTTAGCTGTTGATAGCTACTCCAGCAAGACTATTGGATATACTAACCAATCATGGTAACAATGATCAGACCTGATTATACCTACAGTCCTGCATATTTGTGGTGTCTGTAGGAAAGAGTTTGTGTCTCTCTTCAAGTCTGCAAGTTCTTGTAGTTGATGAAGTCGACTCTTTGTATCAAATGGGATTTGAGGAACAAGTGAGATTAAAATGAGATTAATTATGTAATTTTTAGAGTTTATGACAAAGATTATTATTATTATTCTTACATTTTATTATTACATTTTCCCCATCATTTCTATATACCGTAAATGTTCAAATAAAAGTCCGGGCGTTTATTTCTTTCCAAGACAAAAAAATTGCGTAAAATAAAAAAAGAAAAAGTAAAACTGAGATTCGAACCCAGACCTCCAGGTTCATTGCACTCAGCTTAACAAGTTAGGTCATTTGGGACACTCTAAAGATTGTGGTACTTATATTGACTAAAATATGCGTATCTATACTTGGAGATTCTTAGTACCAGGCGTTTATTCAAGCCCGGCCTTTATTTGAACATTTACGGTACTCCATTCTCAGTTACAGTCCATCAGTAAGCATCTTCCATCAAAGAAGCAAAGTCTATTCTTCTCTGCTACCATTCCTCCAAAGATAGAGACACTAGCTACAGAGACTCTTCACAATCCTCTATTCATTACTGTTGGGACAGTAAGACCATTACTTTTTGTCATGTTGTACTGTATAGCAGGAAATTTTGGAGGGAGTTAAATTTGGTGAATTGCTAAATCTTGATGATCGGCAAATTTTAATTTGGCGAATTTGTGGCCATGTGCCATTGAGCATGCGTATAATGGCTCAAATTAGCGAATTTTTATTTTGGCGAATGGCTATCAAAATGCCAAATTTAACTACCTCCAAAATGTCCTTCTATACGGTATTAATTGCTACTCTTTATAGCCAAACACTTCTAGTGTTAATGTGAGACATATTGTCCTTTGGGTGGAAGAGGAGGCAAAGAAGAAACATCTTTTTACTTTTCTTAAAGACAAAGACACATTCTGGTAAGAAGAAGTGATAGAGAATATCACATTTACTTTTAAATTTGTCTTTATAATGCCAAAGTGTATTAATAACAATAAATGTGATGTATTTATTAACAATATAAATGTATTCATTATTCCTCTGTTTCTATCCAGTCCCCCAGTCATTATATTCGTTAACTCTCGTAAAGGTACTCTACTCTTAGCTGAGGCCATTGATAAAGTTAGTTCCTTCTTCTTCTTCATGAGTTATTGTCTTGTCTATAGGCTTGCGATGTGGCAGCCATTGCACTGCATGGAGAGATGGAGCAGGAGAGAAGGTCGGCCATTTTGAGTGGATTCCTGGCTGGGAAGTATGAGGCAGTCGTTGCAACCGGAGTACTAGCAAGAGGACTTGACCTTCACAACGTGAAGCAAGTTAGAATACATGAGATGGAGGGGAAAATATTAGCGTATAGCAAGAAATTTTAGAGGGAGTTAAATTTGGCAAATTGCTAAATTTTGGTGATTGGCGAATTTTAATTTGGTGAATTTGTGGCCATGTGCCATTGAGCAATGGCTCAAAATGGCTGATTTTATTTTGGCAAATGACTATTAAAACACCAAATTTAGTTCCCTCCAAAATTTCCCGCTATACGGTATTAAGAGAATTGTAATTCACTTTTGTTAATATGTAGATATTTATATTTGATGCTCCTTCAACAATTGATGAGTTTATACATCAAGTTAGCCCTTACACACCATCACTTTGTAATAGTGATATATTGTATCTCTTGTTTGTTATTAGTATACACTCTGTTTCACTCTTCTTCACTTCTCTCTCTCTCTCTCTCCCTCTCTCTCTCCCTCTCTCTCTCTCTCTCTCTTTACAGGTTGGTAGATCTAGTAGATTGGGTTCCAAGGGTTGGGCTATCACCTTCATTAACAATACAGACAAAAGTATGTGTACTTGTACTAGCATTCCTCACTTTATACACAAAATCAACAATAAAGCATGAGACAATAGTGTTCCCATACTTGTTACTATAAATGAACTATGATCGTTCAATGGTAAACAGTATCCCATTGATGAAGGTCATGGAAATATTCATTTTTGTCTTTTAATGTGCTAGCGTGTTAGTGACCTTTTTCCAGAATCTTCACACAGGCACTGATTGAGCAATATGTGGCAAATTATCATTTGCATTCGTGCTAACTATGAGGAATTTAATCTTCCTAGCAGCTAGTGAGGGAGAGAGAGAGACAACTGGATTGTTTTAAAAAGGATACTAGAACAGTAATTGGGATATTTCAACTAAATTATTAATGATAACACAAAGAGTATACATAGTACCAAAATTTTACTACCTTGCTATTGTTAACTGTTAATGACAATATAAATGGTTACTGTTTTAATAGCATTTGTCACTACTGGTGTTGCTTTAGGCATATTTACTGGGCTGGTTGATCTTTTGGAGCCATTAGGAGTAGATCTTCCTGCACAGTTGCTCCATCATCGACAAAATGAGGTGGAGAAAAGGAGGAGAAAGCGTATGCTACAAGACAAAACTCCAAAAGTCAATTATCATAAAAAGTAAAAATGAAAGTGCTTTATTGTTGTATAGACTTGCTCTTTCTAGGGAGTCCTTGCTTAGTCTTATTCAAAGCAGTAGCAAGCGGAAACACTAATCATTTCAATATTAATCATAATTCTGATGGAATCATAAAGTGTCTATTTCATTCCCAACAATTGTTCTACTTCTATCATGATTTTATATAACTTTACGTCAATCTTTTTTCTTTCTCTATCGCTCCTTTATCAGCTCTACTCTCAGTGTCTCTCAGCTATAAGAGTGTGACCTCGTTACTGTTCCGTGTCACCTCTTTACACGAATCTGATTTGGCGGGGCTTAGCGGCGATCACGCGAGTTTGGCGGGTAAATTCAAAAGTGCTAATTGTCGTAGTAGTTTTATAGACAGTCACCGTCTCACCATTTTTAATAGTAGCCTAGCTCTGGCCCTCCTTTTCACTCGCTATCTCTCTCCTGCCTTCGATATAACATGAATTCAGCAGCTACTAATATCGTCGTGACAGCTCCAAGCCTGTCTCCAGTCGGGACCTTTCCACACTTGACCTTTAAGTATTCTCCAGCCCCGGGAACTCTCCATCATACTCCCATCGCCGCTGGCTATCATTTCTCTCCTTACTCCTTCCCTCCTATCTATCTGGACACCAAGCCAGACTCCTTTAGCCCTGTCTTTCTACAGCAGCAACCCACCAATGGAGGGAGCTCTTCTGACGAGGAGAAGCAGCAAAATGGCAGTACCCCTGACCTCATCGCTACTCCTCCAGCGCTTGCAGTTGGACCTGCCATTTATGCACCTTCTTCAGCACCAGTCCCTCCTTCTGCTACTGATAAACCAGCTAAACACAAGGAGCAACTCGTTCCTTCAGCCGTCCTCACGGAGAATCAGCTCTGGAAAGCTTTTGATACTGCTGGGAACGAGATGATAGTGACTAAGCCAGGAAGGTATAGTCTAATGGGCCCGATGTGTTTTTGGGGAAAATATTATAACAATTTGTGTTTTTTGAATGTTTTCAAATGCATGTAGCACCTTTTCTGTTCAAAAAATCATACCAATAGTGTTTATTGATCTGACAACTCACCGTAATGTCCTGTTAACAATCTGCCATATCTTACAACAGTATAACATTTTATCTTTTTTCTTATTTTAGGCTTCTCTTTCCAACCATCTTAGTAACAGTCAGTGGCCTTGTCCCCACTATCCAGTACTCTATCATGGTCCGATTTGTGTCTGCCGATAAATATAGACACAAATACATCACTGGTCAATGGACTGCGGTCGGTGAGTCTGACATCATTCATGATGAGTCTAAGATGCTCTTTATTCATCCGTCCTCACCTTGCTATGGAGAGATGTGGATCAAGAAGCCGATTAGTTTCAAATCCATTAAGATCACTCATCACAGTGAAAGCCAAAATGGCAATGTAAGACATTTATAATAGTGTGTATTGAGCTGGGTTGTGCATGCATGGGTTTATGGGGAAATATGATTACTTCAAGTCAAGTGCATGCAGTTAACTTGAATATAGCCTAATTGGTATTGTGTCCTAATTAGCACCATCACTTTGATTTTGATACATAAACTTTTGCTTTTTATTTTTGTTGACTTTGTCTTTGTAAAGTTGTTGTTATTATTATTGTTATTATTATAATTCCATCTCTCAAGTGAATCTATTAATAATGATACTTTCTCCTATTTTATTCTCTTTTAGATTCTGCTCCACACTATGCATAAGTACAGGATTGAGGTAGTTGTCCAGCCTCACAATGATCAGTTAGGAGAAATAGTCTTTCCACTGGCTCACTCAGAGTTTATTGCAGTCACATCATACCAAAGCAGTGCTGTAAGCCACAAAATAAATAATTATTATACTAAAATATTAGTGACAATCTTAAAAATAATATCAACAATAATAATGTTATTTTATTTGTCTTACAGATTACCAAGCTCAAAGTTGACAACAACCCATTTGCAAAAGGTTTCAGGGACAGGGAGACCTTCATATCTCCATACAGCCAAAGCTATGCCCCATTCCTCCCACCCTACACTCCATTTGTCCACCCACTATGGGCCAATGTAACCAATACACCATCAGGAATGTACCCAAACCCTCTTGCTCCAGTAGCCACAGTACCACCTACTCCTCAGATATTCTCAACTAGCATGACAACTACAACTGTATTGACACCAACCAGTAGTGTTCAGCCATTGTTCCCTCCTTCTTCAACTGTTTTTCCAGTTGGGGCTTCAGCCCAGTCTTCTATAGATAATGGAGCTACAGTCTTGGAGGTTGATACTCCTCCATCTGATCTTCAGTCCCGGTCTTCATCTACCAGTTCTAAAACTGAAGATGAGGAAGAGTATGAAATTATTGTTAAAGAAGATGATGATGACATTGTCGATGATGATTAGCTTTAAATGTACATTTTCTCAACAAACTATTATAATCAGCTTATTTTCACTTATAACCTCCACACTAATCTATATATTAGCTACTGAACCAACTGATCTTTAACTTACACTTCTTTAACATTATCTCAGATAAATATATCTATATTATATATATCATGCATTTTAGCTGCTGTACAATTGACAAGTTACTTGATTGTGTTATAGAAATTAACCTATTATCAATTAACGTTCAACTTTGACTTGGGCCAGAATGCATGTACATACGCATTCATTGTACGCTTTGCAATCTTCACCACAAATGCATGGGCTTTGAACATTGCCAGTATATAAAATGTATTACAGTGATTATTATAGAAAATGAACTTTTCTGCATTTATCATACATGTATATAATAACAATAGTATGATTATCATGTATCAGATTATTTAAGTCTGGTTGCTGGGATTGGTGGTGGAAGGAACCCAGGTAGTGTGGCTTGTTTGGTTTGCTTCTGTTGACTGGTTTTATTAGCTGATTTAAGAGATTTGGTTCGCTTTGTTAAACTGCACAGTTCAAAATCATCATCAGAATCATCAAAATCAGTGGTACTGCAGGATGAAGGAGCTTTACCATGAGGCTTACTACTAACAGGCTGTGGCTTTGCAGCAGTACCAGTACTAGTTGGTCTGCTAGACTTTGGGCCAGTTGATTTCCTCCTTCCTCCTTTCCTATTAACATTCTCCTGGTCATTAAAGTAAGGAGAGGTAGCCAATTGAGGTGAAGGAGGTGGTGGGAGCATAGCAACTCGACCAGCATAATCCGAAGTGATTTTAAGAAACTCTTCACCGCAAGAGTTTTTCCATTTAGCGACCGTTAGACCCTGGACGGTGAGCATCTCGTCTTTACTTGTTGGAAGTTTCTGTGATAGTTCACGGAGTGTTGTAACAGTGAGAACTACCTCTGGATTAGTCTTGCCTTGCTGACTAGCTATCCTTTTCCTCAACTCATCCAGTGCATTATAACACTCCTCCTTTAGCCTCTCCTCCTCACTCTCTTTCACTACTACTTTCCCTGATATTGAATTCCTTGATTTCTGCTTCACTTTAAGTTGTATCGTCCCAAACTCTCCACTCAATACAGACCCAGCCACAGGACCTGATTTAACATAACACACAACATTATCATGATCTCCAATCTGAAGGTCTTCGGCTAGCACTCCTTTCAGTACCATCATGTGTAGGAGCCTCTCTAGATCATGCTTAGAAAGGAAATCACCTTTACCATATAAGGGCAAGGATTTCAGCTGTGGTCGTGTTGATGCCAGTGCTCGTAAAGCGTCACTGTACTGTAGTAGTGTGAATTGAC